AAAGATAGATAAGAAGTCATCCCTTGGGTAAAAGCATGGGTGACAAGCTGTATAAAAATGATATCCTGGGAGTAACTCAGGGTTCAGAATTTGTCATATGCATACTCTGAACCTTTGCACAAATAAGACCTGTTTTCTCCAACCCTTCTTGGTTTTGTCTTCTGATGTAAGTATCGTGGTTTTTCCACTACAATGTCACCTACTAAAAAAGGATCTGCAGGAAGAAGGCAGACATGATTAGAGAGAACTTGATAGTTGGTTGATTGGTGCATTCTCTTAGACCCCCATAGGAGAATTATTTTGTTCATCTACAACTTCGATCAGTTTCTGTGCTATTCCCCCCTCTGGATGGTTAATGAACATATTGAATAGTACTGGGCCTAGAACATAAACTTGTAGGACCCCACTGTTTCCTTCCCTCCATGTGGTTGTAGTTCCAACGAAGCACGAAGCTGAAAACACCAGCCTGAAGATGACGAATGGGACTTCGTCGAAACGTCGCCAAGACACTTCCAATTTTACGCGGGAGAAAACCCGAACAACCAAAGACCTACATATATATATATTATATATATATATATATATATATATTATATATTATATATATATATATATATATATATATAGTTTGCTAACAAAGAATAAAGAGAGAATGGTATAGCTATTTCGGGTTCCTTTAACCCTCATCAGCCAAACTTACTCTTCTGAGATTCGAACCTGGGCTATCTGCATGTTAGGCAGATGTTATAACCTCTAAGCCACGGGTTCTCTCCCACTTTGTTAGCTACCAGGAGAGAGACAGGGGAGGAGATTTTTTTACCTTGAATGAACACACCTGTCAGCCCAGATATGGGAGAAAGAAAGAAAAGAAAGAAGATTTCTTTCTCCCATATCTGGGCTGACAGGGTGTTCATTCGGTAAATATATATATATATATATATATATATATATATATATATATATATATATATATATATATATATATATATGTTTTCTGAGGTTTCGCGGGTGTTTGCATGTAGATCTTTGGTTATTCGGGTTTTCTCCCACGTAAAATTGGAAGTGTCTTGGCGACGTTTCAACAAAGTCTCATTCGTCATCTTCAGGCTGGTGCTTTCGGCTTCTTGCTTCTAGGAGCAATGTGTGATTGTAGCTGTTTCCTCCTTTTAACTGCCAGTGGGTGTATGAACTGATTGGATGAGAGCTTGGCTGTGTTCTGATTGGATGGAGGTCTGTTCTGATTGGTTAGGAGCTTGGCTGTGCTCTGATTGGCTGGGGGGTTGGCTGTGCTCTGATTGGCTGGGGGAGTGTTCTGTTTGGGTGGGGGCTTTGTTGTGCTCAGGTTAGTCTGAATTGCAGGGGGGGGTTAAAATGATGAGCTGCATTGCTATTTTTTGGCTTCGCGTTCGTGGTCATGCCTCATCTTCATGGTGGGTGCCAGTTTGCTTCATGTATGGATTGGAGGGGTTTAAAGTGGCTAATGATGAAGCTGTGGTCTGGCTTCTGGTTTATCGTCATGCCTCATCATCGGTGTAGCTTTGGGTTTGCTTTTTGCGTGGATGTGTGGTGGTGACATCCTGTGTGGTTTTTGTGAGTGTGGGTCTGGTGTCATTTTTTTGTGTTACGGAGTCGTTTGTCAATAAGGGCGGGTTTCCAAATGGCTGGTAGGTGGGAGGTATCATTTCGTTTGTTCATGCTGTGTGGGCGTTTTTCTATCTCGATGGCTTCTCTGATTATTCTGTTATTAAAATGTTCAGTTTTGGCGATAGTTCTGGTCTTTTTAAAGTCAATTTCACGTCCTGTGATTTTAAGGTGTTGGACCAGGGAAGAAGTTGGTTCCTCTTTTTTGACTGAGTTCTTATGTTCTTCAATGCGTGCACTTATTCTTCTGTTGGTTTGTCCGATGTATGTGGTGGGACAAGTGGTGCATGGGATTTCGTATACTCCTTGATTTTCTAATTCAATTTTATCTTTGGGTTTCTTAGGATGGTGGATATTTTTCTGTTTGGGCAGAATGCTGTCTTAATGTTGTGTTTGTGGAGGATCTTACTGATTCTGTCTGTGGTGCCTTTTATGTAAGGGAGGAGGGCTTTGCCGTTTTCTTGTTCTCTGTCTTGGGTTTTAGTGAGGGTTTCTTTTTGGATTAGTTTGGTAATCTTCTTTCATTGGAATCCATTGGATGTAAGTACATTAGTGAGAGTGTGTAGTTCGGTTTTTAGGTGTTGTTCATCAGCTAAACGTTTTGTTCTAGAGATGAGTGTCTTGGCTACAGAGTTGATCTGTGCTGGGTGGTGGTGTGAGAGAGCATGCAGATAGCGGTTTGTGTGTGTTTTCTTCTGGTAGATGGTGTGTCCTAGGGAGCCATTGGATTTCTTGTAGACTAAGACATCTAGGAAGGGAAGTTGGTTATTAGCTTCTGTTTCCATGGTGAACTGTATTTTGGGGTGTAGGCTGTTGAGGTGTATGAGGAAGTTATCCAGTTTTTCTTTCCCATGTGGCCAGATTATGAAGGTGTCGTCTACGTATCTGAGCCAGAGTTTGGGTTTGTGTTCAGATTTTTCTAGAGCTTGGGTTTCAAAGTGTTCCATGTAGAGATTTGCAATGACACGTGAGAGGGGTGATCCCATGGGTGCTCCTTCTATTTGTTTGTATTTTTGTCCATTATAGATGAAGTATGTGTTGGATAGACAATGGTTGGTCACATCTAGGATGTGTTTTGGGGGGTTATATTTGTTTTGGATAGCTGTCAAGGCTTCTTTGATTGGCACTTGGGTGAACAGAGATATGACATCGAGCTCACGAGTAGGTCGCTGGGCTGTAAGTTTTGTTTCTTTATGATCTCTAAGAAATGGAATGAATTTTTTACGTGTGAGGTGATGGATTCTGCATAGGGCCATAGTTGTTTGGCCCACCCAGTCAGCAAAGGGCCCCGGTGGAGGAATCACACAATGGAGTTGGTTGATTAAATAATAACAGAACCCATACTTCCACCGCACCCCTCCCCATCTTTCTTTGGTTTTAAGGGTGGATTTGAACTTTTTATGCTTTACCTTCGATGCTAATTGTAAGCCGGCCAGAGTTACCCTATGGTTAGAAGGGCAGACAATAAAATTTATAAATATATAAATACATAATAAAATCCTCAACCGAGATCAAAGGTTCATGAGACTACCTGGGTCCTTGCACACAAATGCCACCAACAACAACGCAAATAGCAAAGCTTTTATCTTGCCATCTCTTCTGCAGCCTTCACAATGCAGTCCAGGATGGGAGAATGAAGTTCTGTATATATGCCACTTCCCCACCTTGTGGGGGCTGGAGCTCCAGGTTCAAGAGGGAAGAGAGGGGAGACTTGGGAAAGAAGGGAGGGGTAGGGGGTGATCTCACGTTTCCCACTACACAAAGGGAAATCGGTTTGATAAGCTAAGGTTTATGGCCAAGATGTTCAGTAGATAGCAGGCAAGAGAACACTCTGCTTCAATCGTTGGGTTCTGGGTGTTCTTTCTATGCTTGAGGTGCCCCTGCAGATCAGGAAACACTTTCCATGCACGAGAGAGTCAGGTTTTCCTTCCATTTCATGCTCAGATATTTTTATGTTGAGGTAGATGAAAAATTGCCATTAAGAGAAATGATATTTTAATTAACAGGAGTGATGTTTAGCAAGCATTAACTAATATTATAAACTGGCTGAATGTGATAACCTGTGTGCAATTCTATGAAGAAACATTTTTACAAGAGGTGCCAACCGAAGATCAGTAATGGTGTAAGATATTACGCGTGTAGGGGAGTGTGGTTTTCTGCACATTGTATAAACTTCCCTTTTCCCTATGTGTGTGGTCTCAAGATATGAACGTCTCTCTTTTAGTATGTTAAAGATAGATAAGAAGTCATCCCTTGGGTAAAAGCGTGGGTGACAAGCTGTATAAAAATGATATCCTGGGAGTAACTCAGGGTTCAGAATTTGTCATATGCATACTCTGAACCTTTGCACAAATAAAACCTGTTTTCTCCAACCCTTCTTGGTTTTGTCTTCTGATGTAAGTATCGTGGTTTTTCCACTACAATGTCACCTACTAAAAAAGGATCTGCAGGAAGAAGGCAGACATGATTAGAGAGAACTTGATAGTTGGTTGATTGGTGCATTCTCTTAGACCCCCATAGGAGAATTATTTTATTCATCTACAACTTCAATCAGTTTCTGTGCTATTCCCCCCTCTGGATGGTTAATGAACATATTGAATAGTACTGGGCCTAGAACGTAACCTTGTAGGACCCCACTGCTTCCTTCCCTCCTTGTGGTTGTAGTTCCATTGAGGACTAAATGTTGAGTACGATTTATCAGCCTGTTACAAACGCATCTGGTGATGGTGCTGTTTATCCCACACTTTTTAAGTTTATCAAGACATAGGTTGTGTTCTCTTTTGTCAAACACTTCACTGAAATCCAAGTATACTATATCCACAGCATTTCGCTGATCCATTAATTTAGTCACTTTATCAAAAGAAAGAAATAAGAAAATGTTTGGCATGATCTGTTTGGAGAAAGCCATGTTGGCTTGTCTTTATAACTTAAATGCATTTGGATTGTCTATTGGGGATATTCAGCAGCTCAATCTATGTACAGTTATGTTAAAGAAGGAAAAATAATTGTTGGGCTGCTTAGTAATCAAAGTAACTTTATTGATTTGTTTGTTTACTGTGAAGTTTATTTTCTGCCCCTCTCGTATCCAGTGTCTCTGGGCAGATTTACAGGCAGGCAGGTTATATTTCTATTGATGATAAATTATAAGTAAGTTGCCGTTCTTGACACAGACTACCAAATACTTTGAAAGTCAAATTTTATGAGATGGGCATCTAAGGCAGACCTGCACCCGTTGGAAAAGGAAGAGGGTTTTCCATAAGTAAGATGGGTTACAAAAAACCCTTCAGCCTTCTACTATTCCGCAATTGAACTTTCAAAAAAGGAAAATGGACACGTCATGCCAAACACATCCACTACACTTGAATGTAAATGCACAAATTTATTCAGTTGCCAAGCTACAGAGAGAGCAGAACAAGTCTTGTAGACCAGGATTAAAAGGAGAGAGGACGATGTGTCCAAAGAAGCCGAGGGGGTGAATTATGGACCGTAAAGGCCACAAATTTAAATCTGCCAGGATGGTCCATGATGGATGACAGCAAAACCCAAAACAACATTTTAAACATTGCAAAAGTCAGTTTTGCAACACGTAAGGTCCAGAGACTGGTCATATTCCGGGCACAATGGAGCACATCCTTTATACTGGAGCCCTCCTGGAAAAGAAACATAAAGCAAAACATTTACAGTGCCAAAGAATTGATGTGCGGCTATTTCTGAACAAAACGGTAAAGCCACACTGGATGCACAGTCATGCATTCCCACACTCCAAACTGGGGTGCTTGTGGGATGGACTGGGCTGCCCTTTCTGAAACCCCTCCCCTTTTCCTGGCATCCCTTAATACAGTGATGGCGAACCTTTTAGAGACCGAGTGCCCAAACTGCAACCCAAAACCCACTTATGCATCGTGGGGTGCCAGGTGGGTGTGGCCCATTGGCTGGGTGTGTCACACTGAGTGGGTGTGGCCCATTGGGTGGGTGTGGCTGCAGTGGTAAAAGTTCAATCAATCAATTCCAACTTTGCAAGATCTTTTTTTTCCCACAGGAAGTTGAAATTGATCGATTGATTGAACCTTTTTTTTTTTTTTGCACACAGCGGCAGAGGCCTAAAGCGACAAGGTTTTATAAAACCTAGATGAAGGCTTAGGACTGGGGTGACGGCACACATGCCCACAGAGAGGGCTCTGAATGCCGCCTCTGGCACCCGTGCCATAGGTTCGCCACCACTGCTTTAATATGTCAGGCCATGACCTCAGGGAAACCTAGACAGGGCACAGACAGGTCCTAGGTGATCTGGAATCCTCAGCTGCATTTGGGAGTTCTAGTTCCCATACAAGAAGAAAAACTGTCAGAAAGGATAGGAACTTTGCTTACCAATAAAAACCTTCAGAATATAACAGTATCTATCTCTTTCCGAACATGTTTTTTCTCTATCAAACATAAATGGCTGAGACTCGTAACATTTCAGACTCTTTACTAGATGAATGAAATAAAACATAGAAAACTTACTTTAGTATTTATCTCTTTGATCTTGTCTTATTATGTATTGAATAATAGACTTTTGACTAATAAGGTTGGCTGTGAAAATTTGGGTCATTTGGGTGACTCTCTCTCCCCCGACCCACTTCACTAGGTCTTTGTTCAGGGAAAGCAGAGAGAGAACGAATATTAGCTTCGTTCAGCACCCGGGCTTGATTATAAAAACAACGAAGGTGAGCTTTAAAAAGACATCGTTTCCTAAAAAGGCTCCTGCCATTTTGGGAACATCTTGCCTCCCCCCCAAATGTGAGGTTGGACCCAACCCTCCTATCTTTTCGTTTGGTCCATCCAGTCAGCTAAGGGCTCCGGTGGAGGAATCACTCAATGGAGGTGGTTGATTAAATAATAACAGATCCCATACTTCCACCCCACCCCTCCCCATCTTTCTTTGGTTTTAAGGGTGGGTTTGAACTTTTTATGTTTTACCTTAGATGCTAATTGTAAACCAGCCAGAGTTACCCTATGGTTAGAAGGGCAGACAATAAAATTTATAAATATATAAATACATAATAAAATCCTCAACCGAGATCAAAGGTTCATGAGCCTACCTGGGTCCTTGCACACAAATGCCACCAACAACAACGCAAATAGCAAAGCTTTCATCTTGCCATCTCTTCTGCAGCCTTCAGAATGCAGTCCAGGATGGGAGAATGAAGTTCTGTATATATGCCAGTGCTCCACCTTGTGGGGGCTGGAGCTCCAGGTTCAAGAGGGAAGAGAGGGGCAACTTGGGAAAGAAGGGAGGGGTAGGGGGTGATCTCACGTTTCCCACTACACAAAGGGAAATCGGTTTGATAAGCTAAGGTTTATGGCCAAGATGTTCAGTAGATAGCAGGCAAGAGAACACTCTGCTTCAATTATTGGGTTCTGGGTGTTCTTTCTATGCTTGAGGTGCCCCTGCAGATCAGGAAACACTTTCCATGCACGAGAGAGTCAGGTTTTCCTTCCATTTCATGCTCAGATATTTTTATGTTGAGGTAGATGAAAAATTGCCATTAAGAGAAACGATAAAGTACTTTTGAATTATATTTTAATTAACAGGAGTGATGTTTAGCAAGCATTAACTAATATTATAAACTGGCTGAATGTGATAACCTGTGTGCAATTCTATGAAGAAACATTTTTACAAGAGGTGCCAACCGAAGATCACTAATGGTGTAAAATATTACGCGTGAAGGGGAGTGTGGTTTTCTGCACATTGTATAAACTTCCCTTTTTCCTATGTGTGTGGTCTCAAGATATGAACGTCTCTCTTTTAGTATGTTAAAGATAGATAAGAAGTCATCCCTTGGGTAAAAGCGTGGGTGACAAGCTGTATAAAAATGATATCCTGGGAGTAATTCAAGGTTCAGAATTTGTCATATGCATACTCTGAACCTTTGCACAAATAAAACCTGTTTTCTCCAACCCTTCCTGGTTTTGTCTTCTGATGTAAGTATCGTGGTTTTTCCACTACAATGTCACCTACTAAAAAAGGATCTGCAGGAAGAAGGCAGACATGATTAGAGAGAACTTGATAGTTGGTTGATTGGTGCATTCTCTTAGACCCCCATAGGAGAATTATTTTGTTCATCTACAACTTCAATCAGTTTCTGTGCTATTCCCCCCTCTGGATGGTTAATGAACATATTGAATAGTACTGGGCCTAGAACGTAACCTTGTAGGACCCCACTGTTTCCTTCCCTCCATGTGGTTGTAGTTGCATTGAGGACTAAATGTTGAGTATCATTTATCAGCCAGTTACAAACGCATCTGGTGATGGTGCCGTTTATCCCACACTTTTTAAGTTTATCAAGACATAGGTTGTGTTCCGTTTTGTCAAACACTTCACTGAAATCCAAGTATACTATATCCACAGCATTTCGCTGATCCATTAATTTAGTCACTTTATCAAAAAAAGAAATAAGAAAATGTTTGGCATGATCTGTTTGGAGAAAGCCATGTTGGCTTGTCTTTATAACTTAAATGAATTTGAATTGTGTATTGGGGATATTCAGCAGCTCAAACTATGTACAATTATGTTAAAGAAGGAAAAATAATTGTTGGGCTGCTTAATAATCAAAGTAACTTTATTGATTTGTTTGTTTACTGTGAAGTTTATTTTCTGCCCCTCTCGTATCCAGTGTCTCTGGGCAGATTTACAGGCAGGCAGGATATATTTCTATTGATGATAAATAATAAGTAAGTTGTCATTCTTGACAAAGACTACCAAATACCTTGAAAGTCAAATTATTCTGAGATGGGCATCTAAGGCGGACCTGCACCCGTTGGAGAAGGAAGAGGGTTTTGCATAAGTAAGATGGGTTACAAAAAACCCTTCAGCCTTCTACTATTCCGCAATTGAACTTTCAAAAAAGGAAAATGGACACGTCATGCCAAACACATCCACTACGCTTGAATATAAATGCACAAATTTATTCAGTTGCCAAGCTACAGAGAGAGCAGAACAAGTCTTGTAGACCAGGAGAAAAAGAAGAGAGGACGATGTGTCCAAAGAAGCCGAGGGGGTGAATTATGGACCGTAAAGGCCACAAATTTAAATCTGCCAGGATGGTCCATGATGGATGACAGCAAAACCCCAAACAAAATTTTAAACATTGCAAAGGTCAGTGGTGCAACACTTAATCTCCACCAACTGGATCCCTTCATTGCACACTGGATTACATCCTTTATACCGGGGCCCTCCTGGAAAAGAAACATAAAGCAAAACATTTACAGTGCCAAAGAATTGATGTGCGGCTATTTCTGAACAAAACGGTAAAGCCACACTGGATGCACAGTCATGCATTCCCACACCCCAAACTGGGGTGCTTGTGGGATGGACTGGGCTGCCCTTTCTGAAACCCCTCCCCTTTTCCTGGCATCCCTTAATACAGTGATGGCGAACCTTTTAGAGACCGAGTGTCCAAACTGCAACCCAAAACCCACTTATGTATTGTCGGGTGCCGGGCGGGTGTGGCCCATTGGGTGGGTGTGGCACACTGAGTGGGTGTGGCCCATTGGGTGGGTGTGGCTGCAGTGGTAATGGCAGACTAGGTGGGACTAAAAAGTTCAACCAATCAATTCCAACTTTGCAAGATCTTTTTTTTCTCACAGGAAATTGAAATTGATCAATTGATTGAACCTTTTTTTTTTTTTTGCACACAGCGGCAGAAGCCTAAAGCGACAAGGTTTTATAAAACCTAGCTGAAGGCTTAGGACTGGGCTGACGGCACACATGCCCACAGAGAGGGCTCTGAGTGCCGCCTCTGGCACCCGTGCCATAGGTTCGCCACCACTGCTTTAATATGTCAGGCCATGACCTCAGGGAAACCTAGACAGGGCACAGACGGGTCGTAGGTGATCTGGAATCCTCAGCTGCATTTGGGATTTCTAGTTCCCATACAAGAAGAAAAACTGTCAGAAAGGATAGGAACTTTGCTTACCATGAACAGACTGCAGAATATAACAGAATCTATCTGTTTCCGGACATGTTATTTCTCTATCAGACAATAATGGGACAGTCTGGTAACATTTCAGACTCTTTACTAGATGAAAGAAATAAAACAGAGAAATCTTACTTTAGTATTTATCTCTTTGATCTTGTCTTATTATGTATTGAATAATAGAATTTTGACTAATAAGGTTGGCTGCGAAAATTTCACCAGAAAGATAATAAAATGGTCATTTGGGTGACTCTCTCTCCCCCGACCCACTTCACTTGGTCTTTGTTCAGGAAAAGCAGAGAGAGAACGAATATTAGCTTTGTTCAGCACCCTGGCTTGATTATAAAAACAACGAAGGTGAGCTTTAAAAAGACATCCTTTCCTAAAAAGGCTCCTGCCATTTTGGGAACATCTTGCCCCCCACCCAAATGTGAGGTTGGCCCCCAACCCTCCTATCTTTTCGTTTGGCCTATCCAGTCAGCTAAGGGCCCCGGTGGAGGAATCACTCAATGGAGGTGGTTGATTAAATAATAACAGATCCCATACTTCCACCCCACCCCTCCCCATCTTTCTTTGGTTTTAAGGGTGGATTTGAACGTTTTATGTTTTACCTTAGATGCTAATTGTAAGCCAGCCAGAGTTACCCTACGGTTAGAAGGGCAGACAATAAAATTTATAAATATATAAATACATAATAAAATCCTCAACCGAGATCAAAGGTTCATGAGCCTACCTGCGTCCTTGCACACAAATGCCACCAACAACAACGCAAATAGCAAAGCTTTCATCTTGCCATCTCTTCTGCAGCCTTCAGAATGCAGTCCAGGATGGGAGAAGGAAGTTCTGTATATATGCCACTGCCCCACCTTGTGGGGGCTGGAGCTCCAGGTTCAAGAGGGAAGAGAGGGGAGACTTGGGAAAGAAGGGAGGGGTAGGGGATGATCTCACGTTTCCCACTACCCAAAGGGAAATCGGTTTGATAAGCTAAGGTTTATGGCCAAGATGTTCAGTAGATAGCAGGCAAGAGAACACTCTGCTTCAATTGTTGGGTTCTGGGTGTTCTTTCTATGCTTGAGGTGCCCCTGCAGATCAGCATGCACAAGACAGTGAGGTTGTAAGGACCCACCCCACTTTGCATCTTAAGAAGAGAACTCTTGGAATAATTCTTCCAACAGGCATGCTAGACAGGACTCCCATTCAAGGTTTTAAGGGGTTCCCCAGTAGTCCCACCCAATCAAACCCCCTTCCAGTGATAGTTTCAAGTATCACAATTCCACCCCCTTTCTTCTTTCTTCCGTCTGGATGGAGACTTCAGATAACTACATGAAAGGCAAATACCCTTCCTTGTTATGGTAATGTTCTTGGGTACTAACACTTTGAGGTAATAAACACACATTCAGTATTCAGCTCTTTGAAGTGTACTGAAGGAAGTGAGGGCCATAAAGCCCCTTTGTTCTCCCCCTTCTCTCCCTCTTATGGCAGAATCCAGAGAAGGCAGAATTGGGGTTTTCTATGTTTGATAATTAAAGATGAAATATAATTGGATTCTGACATCCGGCCCCTCTTAAAATAAGAGAGATTCACCTGAAAGAAAACAAAACAGGTATAAGACTTAGTCAGGCTTGTTAGGATACTCTGTGTGAAACTTCTTCAATAGCTTCGGGGCTCTGATATGACGTTTATGGACCCACTCGTTTTGTGAGGGAGGGAGGTGTTTCCAGGCAACTAGGTACTGAGTTGCTCCATGATATCTCCTAGAGTCAAGGATCTCTTTTATTTCGAAGTGTTATTCGCCCTCCACCATGATTGGAGGTGGTGGGGGGGGGATTTTGGGCCGTAGAGGTGATTGATGCTCTCTTTTCAGCAAGCTGCAATGAAAAATTGGGTGTATTTGCCTGAGATTTTTGGGTAATTCTAATTCTACTGTTACTGGATTTACAATTCTTTTAATTGGAAAAGGTCCTATGTATTTTGGTTTTTTACAGGGCTGTAGGGACTTTAGGTATTTTGTAGATAAGTACACCATTTCTCCTATAATGAAAGGTGTAGGCTCAACCCTTTTTTTATCGGCTTGTGCTTTGTATGCCTGCCTAGCTTCATCTAGTGCTTTTCTAACTATTGGCCAGGTGTTTTGTAGTTTTTCCATCCATTCGTTCAGCGAAGGGATCGTTGGTTCGTTTGGGGTTAATTCTGGCATGGGGTAGAAACTTTGACCGTTGGCTATTTGAAAAGGAGTGTAGCCTGTGCTGGAGTGGACTGCATTATTGTAGGCAACTTCTGCAAAAGGAAGTAAGTCCGTCCAATCACTATGTTGGAAATTTAAAAAACATCTCAAATATTGCTCAAGTACCGACTGGCAGCGTTCCGCTTGTCCATCGTCTGAGGGTGATGGCTAGATGTCAGTCCCTGAGTGGTCCCTAAGAGGGATAAAAAAATTCCTTCCAAAATGCAGACGTAAATTGCACTCCCCTATCAGAGATGATGCGTTGGGGTGCCCCGTGCAATCTGTAAATGTGCTGGATGAAAAGTCTTGCTAAGGCCTTTGCAGTGGGAATCTTTTGGCAAGGGATAAAGTGCACCTGTTTGGAAACAAGTCCGTGACTGTCCAGATAACAGTATTCCCATTGCTTTCTGGCAATTCCACTATAAAATCCATGGCTATTTCCCTCCCAGGGGCGAGGGACTGCACTGGTGTTAATAGCCCTGGCGATTTCCTTGCAACTCTTGTGCTGATGCACAGGTTGGGCAGCTGGCAACATAACTGTCTATGTCCTTTTTTATTGATGGCCACCAAAATTGCCGTTTAATTAAGTGTAAAGTTTTTACAAATCCAAAATGTCCTGCTGATTTTGTGTCATGGCAAAGCTGCATGAACGTGATTCTTTGGGTTTTTGGTATATATAACTTTTCCCCTACCCCAGGCAACCCGTCTCTCATTGTGCACACATTTTTGTTTTTCTGGAACCATTCATCTGTTTCCAAACTTTTTCGGAATTCAATTCCAGTTTGGCTGTCCAGTTGTGGTTTTAATTTGGCTTGGGTTCTTGTGGTTACTGGTGCTGCCAGTTGTGACTCTGCCATTATTGGTCTAGAGTCTGTGGTTCGTGCGCTGTTATATTGGGGCATGCGAGATAGTGCATCTTCCAGGAAGTTCTTTCTTCCTGGTAAATGTTTGAGCTTAAATTGGAATTGGTGAAAATGCTGGGACCAGCGGGCTTGTTTGGGGTTGAGTTTCCTGGAAGTTTTCAGGGCTTCTAAATTTTTGTTATCAGTCCATACCTGGAAGGGGATTTTGTTGCCTTCCAGGAACTGTCGCCACGTGAGTAATGCCCAACGTATCCCATAAGCCTCCTTCTCCCATACGGGCCAGCGCTGTTCTGTTCCCGTGAGTTTCTTAGATGTATATGCACAGGGTTGCAATACTGCATCATCATTTTCTTGTAATAGCACAGCCCCCACTGCCACATCACTTGCATCTGCCTGTATTATGAAGGGCTTGTCCATATCTGGGTGCCTTAGTAATGGTTCGGCAGAAAAAAGTCTCTTTAGTCTCTCAAACGCTGCTTGGCACTCCATTGTCCATGTTAGTGGCTGGCTAGGTTTTACTGAGGGTGTTCCCTTCGGTTTTAGTAAGTTAGTGAGGGGCAAGGCTATCTGGGCAAATGAGGGGATGAATTGACGGTAAAAGTTTGCAAAACCCAGGAAACTTTGTAGTTGCTTTCTTGTGCGGGGTGGCGCCCAATCTAATACTGCTTTGACCTTCTCTGGGTCCATTTCAATGCCCTGTGGGGATATGCGATAGCCTAGGTAGTCTATCCTTTCCTGGTGGAATTCGCATTTTGAGAGTTTGGCATATAGGTGGGCGGCTCGCAGCTTCTTTAAAACCGCTCTGACAAGGTTGACGTGTTCCTCTTTTGTTTCAGTAAAGATAAGAATGTCGTCCAAGTAAACAAGGACCCCCTTAAACAGGTGCTCCCTTAGAACCTCATTGATTAATTGCATAAAGACTGCAGGGCCCCCTTGTAGTCCAAATGGCAAGACTTTGAATTGATAGCACCCCATGGGGCAGTTAAATGCAGTCTTCCATTCGTCCCCTTCCTTAATTCTTATGCGATAGTAAGCTTCCCTTAGGTCTAGTTTAGAAAAATTTTTCCCTTTCGATAGGTGTGACAGCATGTCTTCCATGAGGGGCAGAGGGTATAGGTTGCTTTCACTGATTGTATTCAGGGCCCTATAATCCACGCATAAACGTAAAGAGCCATCCTTCTTCTCTCTAAAAAGGACCGGGGCAGCCACTTTAGGCTTGGCTGGCTCAATGAAACCTCTCTCCAGGTTTTTTTTTATAAATCTTTCCATTTCCTCCTTCTCCTTTGGGCTCATGGAGTATAATCTGGGCTTCGGGAGTTTTGCCCCAGGCTTGAATTCAATGGTACAGTCTGTGGGTCGGTGGGGGGGAAGCTCATTCGCCCTCTCCTCACTGAAGACTTCAGCAAGGTCCCTATATTCCTCTGGTATTTCTGTTAATCTTTTTCCTCTCCTATGGATGCTTTTTCTATTCTTGATTCTGGTAGCCTCCCTTGGGGTTTTAAGTCCATAGGGTCCCCCTTCGGGAATTTGATTTCTGTCGTCCTCCAATTTACCCAGGGGTTCCATTTTTTCAACCATTCCATCCCTAGAATCATTGGGCATTCCATACCTGGGGTCACCACAAACGTTAAGTCCTCTTCATGGTTGCCCAGGGAGAGGTGTATTGGCAGAGTGGCTAGGGTAGCTGGCACCCCCCCTGCTATGGATCCATCTAGCTGGCCAAATGAGATTGGTTGTTCCAGTCTCCTGGATGGGATGCCCAGATTCCCCACTAGTGTTGGGCTAATGAGGCAGCGGGTACAGCCAGAGTCTATTAAGGCTTTCACCTTCACAGCTTCGGGCATGGGGGGGGATTAATATAGTCACTGTTTTGAAGATGGGTGTGATGCATCCACTTACCAGGGGTTCGCCCTCCGAGCTGTCATCTGAGGCATCCACCGGCCCTGTGGTGTAGGCTGGAGTCCTTTCCCCTTGGTGAGCAGAGGTGGGGGTTTCTGCAATTTCCATCATTCTCATGGCCGTTTCTTTTGGCTTAGCTGAATACTTTCCGGGTTTGTTGATTGGGGATCTGTCTGGGTTGTGCTGGGGGGCCTTTGAGCGGCATTCTACAGCTCGATGCCCTTCTTTTCCGCACTTGAAACACCCCATTTGCTTCTTGGCTGTAGCCGATGATTTCACCGGTTCGTGTGTCAGCTCAGGCGGGGGGCGGCTCCATTGTTTTCCTCGGTGGTGTCTCTTCAATATGTCGATCTCTGCTTCCTCTGCCAAGACGTACCATTCCTCAAGTCCTATGTGGGGCCCCGGGCAGGCAAGCATCATATAGATCATAGTTTAGTCCGTTCTTTGAAATGGCAAGGAGGATGTTTCTGGCCAATTCAGTTTGCATGGCAATGGCCGCATCTTGTGTATACTCAGCACTGGGCGTTTGCCTTGCCCTCATCGTTGTTAGTCTTTCACGGGCTTTGCGATCAGCCAGGGGGTCTTCCAAATCGTTTCTCAAAGAGGACATGAAACGGTTGAGTTCTGAGTTTGAGGCATTGGAGTCATGCAAGTTCACCACCCACTCTGCAGCTGGTCCATCCAGGGCAGATTGCAGGATCCGGATGCGGGCTTTGTCGCTGGGAATGTCCTGCCCATATTCCTCCATGTAGCTGAGGACTTGGGTTAGGAAAAACCCCAAGCGTGTTGGCTCCCCTTTGAATTTCACCTCCAACGGTGGACGTCTTGGAATGGATCGGTGCCTCCGTTGTGGGTGGTAGTGTCTTCCGTCCAGATTGCCATCTGTGGTCCGGTAGGGGGTGGGAGCTCCTGGATCAGTAGATGTCCCTGGGGTTGCAGGTTCCACGTCCCCCTCGGTGTCTCTCCCTTTGTGGCTCCAGGAACTGGGGCGGCCGTAGGGCTCAGTATTCTCCTCTCCTAGGGAGCTGAGAGTTCTCTTCATCAGGTCAATAGCTTTCTCTAGGATCCAGTCTGAGTACGGTGCCCAGCTTCCTCCCTCTTCACTTGCGTGCAGGGATTTCTCCATCTCCTGCTTCATTCTGGTTGCTTGGTCCCAGTCTCAGGGTCACCTTTCTTGATTCCTTTCTCCACTCACTTTTCTTTCCAACGCCCATCGACCAGCGAGGCTTGTGGTCTGTGTCTCCACCACTTCTTCTCCCGAGGAATCTGACCTCTCAGATCCCAACATCTGGCAAGGTTCCAACTGGGTCAGCGGCTCTCTTTCCAGGGAGTTTTCCCTCTCTTGCTTCATTGTCTGACATGGTAAATTTTTGCAAAATCCCGGCAAGGGTCTCCCTTCCAGGTGGATTAATTTTGCAAGTCCTGTCTAATGTAAGGACCCACCCCACTTTGCATCTTAAGAAGACAGAACTCTTGGAATAATTCTTCCAACAGGAATCCTTTATTAAGAGAAAATGGTTGCAGGCATGCTAGACAGGACTTGGGGTCCAAGCTCTCCCATTCAAGGTTTTAAGGGGTTCCCCAGTAGTCCCACCCAATCAACCCCCCTTCCAGTGATAGTTTCAAGTATCACAATTCCACCCCCTTTCTTCTTTCTTCCGTCTGGATGGAGACTTCAGATAACTACATGAAAGGCAAATACCCTTCCTTGTTATGGTAATGTTCTTGGGTGCTAACACTTTGAGGTTACAATAAACACACATTCAGCATTCAGCTCTTTGAAGTGTACTGAAGGAAGTGAGGGCCATAAAGCCCCTTTGTTCTCCCCCTTCTCTCCCTCTTATGGCAGAATCCAGAGAAGGCAGAATTGGGGTTTTCTATGTTTGATAATTAAAGATGAAATATAATTGGATTCTGACAGAGGTTTTCTTTCCATTTCATGCTCAGATATTTTTATGTCACCTACTAAAAAAAGGATCTGCAGGGAGAAGGCAGACATGATTAGAGAGAACCTGATGGTTGATTGGTGCATTCTCTTAGACCTCCACAGGAGAATTATTTTGTTCATCTACAACTTTGATCAGTTTTTGTGCTATTCCCTCCTCTGGATGGTTAATGAAGATCTTGAAGAGTACTGGGCCTAGAACATAAGCTTGTAGGACCCCATTGCTTCTTTCTCTCCATGTGGTTATAGTTCCATTGAGGACTACACATTGAGTATGATTTATCAGCCAGTTACAAACCCATCTGGTGATGGTGCTGTTTATCGCACACTTTCCAAGCTTACCAAGAAGTAGGTTGTGTTCTCTTTTGTCAAACACCTTACTGAAATCCAAGTATACTACATCCACAACCTCTTGCTGATCCACTAATTTAATCACTTTATCAAAAAACGAAATACGAAAATGTTTGGCATGATCAGTTTTGGAAAAAGAAACAGCAGTAAAGACAGGTCTTAAGAAATGTCTCTGTACTAACCAAAGTTGGTAAACCATCCGTGGTTTGAAGCCACTGCATGGTTGGTGACGGAGTTCCCCAGATTGATGCCTCTGGGGGACATAGCTTTGCTTTCTCTGGGAGGGGGATCTGAGACAACAGGGAGTTCATGGTTTCAATGACAGCCATGAAGCTATCCCAGGTTATCTGGAGCCTGATTCTAGATCCTGGCCAAACTGCACCTTTGGTGTTCCTATAGGAACCGTGGGGAGGAACTGAGTACAAAGTGGGACCAGATAGGACACAATGGGCAGCTGTGGCTGTAGAGGAGAGTTGCTTCTCCAGCATCAGAAGCCACTCCCTGCTCCACCCACCGGTGCCTTGTCCAATGGGAAGGCAGAGGCCCACTTCTCGGCACAGGGATTGGATTTTGGGATGCCTGGATAATTGTCCCACACTGCTTCAGCAGACAGAGGAAGCACTGAAATGCACATATATGTCTGTTTTTAGGGCAGTGCATATTACATCACTGCTCCACCAGCTGCTTTGGTGGCCAGCTTGCTTCCTGGTCCAGTTCCAGGTGTTGGTTCTATCCTTTGAAGCCCAGGATGGAGATGGACTAAGCTATCCATAGGACTCCATCCAGTTACTGTATAGCATCTGACCCATTAGAAGTTTAGTAAGTGATCAAATCTGGAACTGGAATTCGCAGAGAGGGGATTATGCTGAGCCCAGTCAGGGATAGGAAAGGATTGGAGCAGGAGTCCAACTTCCAGGTCTTCCTCCAAACCATGCTACTTCTAAAGGAAACTTATGCACTTATGTCCCATCTGAGATGGGTGTCTAAGGCAGACCTGCACCCACTGGAGAAGGAAGAGGACTCAGGGGTTTTGCCCGTGGCACATATAAATCTCTTTTTTCATTTCAATCCTTCCCTCTCCATTGGTCATGTTGATGGATCAAGCTTCTCCCAAGTCCATGTTTAGCAGAGCTCCTGATAGCGGGATTCCCCCTCTGTTTCAATCTCCTGGATCTCTTTAAGGAATGACACACAATGCCACTCATCTTCAATGCATTTTCATGTCATTTGTCACAGAAGGGCCATGCATGCTCGTCACTCTTACCCAGTTAAGAAAACCAATAATTAAAAATTTATCAGAAAATGGATTATATACATTAAAAAAACTTTCAGCCTTCTACTATTCCATAATGGAACTTTGAAAAAAGGAAAACGGACACGTCACAGCAAACGCATCCACTATACTTGAATTTAAAAGCAGACATTTATTCTGTTGCCAAACTACAAAAAGAGCAGAACAAATCTTGTAGACCAGGAGAAAAAGGAGAGAAGGCGAGGTGTCCAAAGAAGCTGAAGGGTTGAATTATGGACCGTAAAGGCCACAAGCCTAAATCTACAAAGGATGGTCCATGATGGATGACAGCAAAACTCAGAAGGATATTTTAAACATTGCAATAGTCAGTGTTGCAGCATTTAAACTCCAGGATGTCGTTCCCTTCATAGCATATGGGAGTACATCCTCTGCGCAGTAAATCTTCTGGAAAGGAAGCAGACAACAAAACATTTACAGTGCCAAAGAATTGATCTATGGTTGTTTCTGAACAAAACGGTCAACCCACACTGCATGATGGCAGACCTCTTTCCTCATCTACTGACTACTCAGGAGTAAAATAGGAAGCAAGCATTCTGGGAAAGGTCCTCCTCACTTGGATATTTCATAGCTTAATCTGCAAAGGTGGTCACATCCTTAGGAAACGCCCAGCTCTCCCTGCCTTTTTTGTCTCCCCTCTTTCTATAAAGAATGTGCCCCTCCCAATCTGGGGTGCTCCTGGGACGGACAGGGGTTCCCATTCTGAGCCCCTCCCCCCTTTCCTGGCATCCCTTAGACTGGGGTTGTCAAACTACCAGCCCGCGGGCCAGACGTGTCATCGCAAAAGCGCACCCACCCCATTGCAGGCAACGGCAAAAAAGTTCCGATACGTAGCGCGACATCACGTGATGTCACAAGTTTGACATGTCTGCCTTAATATGTCAGGCCATGACCTCAGGGAAACCTAGACAGGGCACAGACAGGTCCTAGGTGATCTGGAATCCTGAGCTGCATTTGGGAGTTCTAGTTTCCATACAAGAAGAAAAACTGTCAGAAAGGATAGGAACTTGGCTTACCATTTCGTTCGTTCAGAGCAAAACAGAACATATCTGGTGAGTTACACCGGACTCCCTTTCCACAAGGACTGAATGAAAGAAATAAAAGAGAGGATTCTCACTTTGATATTTCTTTGATCTTCACTTATTATCTTGTTAGATAATAGATTATTTAAGAATAAGGTCGGCTGCGAAAATTTGGTCTGCAAACCAGTCCCACCTTAGCCAAGAAAGGCATCTGGGTGACTCTGGGCCAGTCACTCTTTCTTAGCCCATCCCACTTCACTGGGTCGTTGTTCAGGGGAAAATGGTATTTGAGGCAGAAAAGAGTATTAGGATTGTTTACCACCCTGGGTTATTTATAAAAATAATGAGGGTGAGATTGAAAGAAAACATCTTTTCTTGAAGAGGCCATGAAAGGTCAGCAGGTGAGAACTTGTGAGGTTGGTTTCTGTTTGGAAGCTAAGCAGGGTTGGGGCTGGTTAATCCTAGCAGGGGAGACCCCCGAGGCTGCAGGATGAATTGAGAAGTCTCAGAAATTACAGCAATGTCAACCAATCTCAGGTTGATGCCAAGGAAAATCCATGCTTGACTTGAAGGGAGCATCTCTGATATCATCTTATTATGTATTGCATAACAGATTATCGAAGAATAAGGTGGGCTGGGAAAATTTCACCAGAAAGATAATAAAACGGTCTGCAGACAAGGAGCCTGTGAGTTCCAGTCCAGCCTCAGCCAAGAAGGCATTTGGGTGACCCTGGGCCAGTCCCTCTTTCTCTCCCCCAACAGATTTCACTGGGTCGTTGTTCAGAAAATGTTAAGAAATTACAGCAATGTCGACCAATCTCAGGTTGATGCCAAGGAAAATCCGTGCTTGACTTGAAGGAGGCATCTCTGATCCCTTTTGGTTGCACCATCGAAAACGCTGAATGTGAGCAAAGCCGGAGGGAGGCAGAGGGAGGGCAAAGACAATGGAACATTCTTCCTTTTGCTCCCAAGAGTATTTCCATGGCAGAATTCACTATGCAAAGGAACCTCTACTTGCGGAGGCAGTCTACCCCAGAAGAACAGCTGGGCCAAGCACTGTCTCAGCGACGGGCTTCTCTCCAAATGGAGACCTCCTCTTTCCCCCTAAAGGCTCCCAGGGACCCTCCCTATGGAGAGCAGAACAGGGAGAAAGTCATATCGCCAGAATGGAGCACAACTGCTTCGAATACCACACTTCGCTCCGATCCCTCAGTCTTTCTTTGATCCTCCATATTTCCACTCTGGGTGACCCAAGAGATGCTGTCACCATCTTCTCACGGTAATGTGCCCCAAATGGGGCCAGCCTTGAAGAGCATTCAGAAGCTACAGCTGGTGCAGAGCACAGCAGCGCAGGTACTTTTGGGGTGCCCACGAATGGTCCCTGTGGCCCCACTGCTCCGTGAGCACCACTGGTTACTGTTCTGCTTCTGGGTGTAATTCAAGGTTTTGGGAGTCCCCTTTAAAGCCCTTCATGGCAGGTGTCCAGGTTAGTCTCACCCCCATGGGATTGGCCCATCCCACTCATGCTGGCAGAGGAGGTGTGCTGAGGGTCCCGTCAGCCCGACTATTCCAGCTGGCAGAGTCTAGAAGGAGGGTCTTCTCTGCTGTGGCTCCTTCCCTCTGGAACATCCTGGCTCCCAATGTGAGGTGGACCCCAACCCTCCTGTCTTTTTGCAAGGGCCTAAAGATGTGGCTCTGCCAGTCGGCTTGGGTCCCCGGCTGAGGAATTGCACAACCAAGGTGCTTGATGGAGTCATAACAGATCCCATACTTCCACCCCACTCCATCCCCGCTCTCCCCATCTTTCTTTGGTTTTCATGTTTGATTTTAACTTTTTATCTTTTAATGTAACTAGCTGACCAACGGCACTCAGTGTGTAGTCCTCAATGGAAGTACTTATATATGGAGGGAGGAATGCAATGGGGTACCCCAAGGCTTTGTTTTAGGCCCAGCACTCTTCAACATCTTCATCAACGATTTGGACGAGGGGATACATACATTTTTTCAATGGTGAAAAAAGTAAGGTTCTACATTTAGGCAAGAAAAACCAAATGCAAAGCTATAGTATAGGGGGTACCTCGCTCAATAGTAGCAACTGTGAGAGGGACCTCGGAGTCCTAGTGGACAATCATTTAAATATGAGCAAGCAGTGTGCTGCAGCTGCCAAAAAAGCCAACACAGATCTGGGCTGCATTAACAGAGAGATAGAATCAAGATCATGTGAAGTGTTAATACCACTTTACAATGTCTTGGTAATGCTACACTTGGAATACTACATCCTGTTTTGGTCACCACAATGTAAAAATGATGTTGAAACTCTAGAAAGAGAGCAGAGAAGAGCAACAGAGATGATTAGGGGACTGGAGGCTAAAACATGTAAAGACAGGTTGCTGGAATTGTCCAGTTTAATTAAAAGAAAAACTAGGTTTACATGATAGCAGTCTTCCAATATCTCAAGGGTTGCCCCAAAGAAGGAGTCAAGCTAATCTCCAAAACGCCTGAAGGCAGGACAAGAAGCAACAGATAATAATTAACCAAGAAGAAAAGCAACCTAGAACTAACTGTTATTAGAATAATTAACCAGTGGAACAACTTGCCTCCAGAAGTTATGGATGCTCTAACACTGGATGAGTTAAGGTTTAAGAAAAGATTGGACCACCATTTGTCTGACGATCCCTTCCACCTTTATTCTATTCTATTTTAAAGCTGATAACTCCTGGACTTATTCTATGGTAAGATGGGCAGCCAAAAAGTTTATAAATAAATACATAATAAAATCCTCAACCGAGATCAAAGGTTCATGAGCCTACCTGGGTCCTTGCACAAAAATGCCACCACCACCAACGCAAATAGCAAAGCTTTCATCTTGCAATCTCTTCTGCAGCCTTCAAAGTGCAGTCCAGGATGGGAGAAGGAAGTTCTGTATATGTGCCACTGCCCCACCTTGTGGGGGCTGGAGCTCCAGGTTCAAGAGGGAAGAGAGGGGGGACTTGGGAAAGAAGGGAGGGGTAGGGGTGATCTCACGTTCCCCACTACACAAAGGGAAATCGGTTTCACAAGCTAAGGTTTATGGCCAAAATTTCAGTAGATAGCCGGCAAAAGAACACCCTGTTTAAATGGTTCTGTTCTGGCTGTTCTTTTGATGCTTGCCATGTCCCTGCAGATCAGGAAACACTCTCCATGCATGAGAGAGTGAGATTTTCCTTCCATTCCACCCTCAAATAATTTTATGTCACCTGCTAAGGGTCTGCAGGAAAGCAGCGATGATTAGAGAGAACTTGATAGTTGGTTGATTGGTGGGAGAAGCACATTGCCTCCCCAGCATCGGAGGCCACTTCCTGCTCCACCCTGTAGTGTCAAGTCCAATGGAAAGGCAGAGGCTCACCCTTCGGCACATAGATTGGATGCCGGGACACCTGGATAATTGTCAGTGGGTAGAGAAAGCCATGGGATGAACAGATATGTCTGTTTTTAGGGCAGTGCATATTACACCACTGCTCCACCAGCTGCGTTGGTTGCCTGCTTGATTCCTGGTCCAGTTCCAGGTGTTGGTTGTAACCTTTGAAGTCCATCAGGGAGATGGACTAAGCTATGGTGGGACTCTCTCCCCCCAGTTACTGTACAGCATTCCACAACATTAGAAGTTTAGTAAGTGACCAAATATGGAACTGGAATACATGGATCAGGGATTACGCTGAGCCCAGTCAAGGATAGGAAAGGATTGGAGCAAGTTCCAGGTCTTCCTGCAAACCACGCTGCTTCTAAAGAAAACTTATGCACTTATGTCCCATCTGTGATGGGCGTCTAAGGCAGACCTGCACCCATTGGAGAAGGAAGAGGACTCAGGGGTTTTGCCCGTGGCGCACATAAACTGCCTGACCTGAGAGGGTGAACCAGCTGGAAAGGTGCCAGCTTAGAAATCTCTGTTTTCATTTCAATCGTTCCCTCTGCTTTGGCCATGGTGATGGGTCAAGGGTCTCTCCAGGCCGTATTTAGCAGAGCTCCTGATGGAGGGATTCCCCTTCTGTTTTAATCTCCTGGATCTCTTTAAGGATGGGCATGGAATGACGCTCATTTTCAATGTGTTTTCCTATCATTTGTCACAGAAAAGCCCGCATGCTCATCACTCTTTCCCAGTTAAGGAAAATACTAATTAAAAATTTATCAGTAAATGGATTATATATATATATATATAAGAAACTTTCAGCCTTCTACTATTCCACAATTTAACTTTCCCAAAAGGAAAATGGACACATCATAGCAAACACACCCAGTACGCTTGGATTTAAATGCAGAAATTTATTCCGTTGCCAAACTAGAGAAAGAGCAGAACAAAGCATGTAGGCCCGGAGAAAAGGGAGAGAGGGCGAGGTGTCCAGAGAAGCTGAGGGGTTGAATTATGGACCGTAAAGGCCACAAACCTAAATCTGCAAAGGATGGTCCATGATGGATGACAGCAAAACTCAACAAAGCTCATTTTAAAATCAGAAGGATGTTTCATTCATTGCAAAAGTTAGTTGTGCAACATTTAGCCTCCAGCCCATTGTCCCCTTGAGGGCATGTGGGGGCACATCTTCTGCGAACAGCCTGTCCTGGAAAGGAAACATAAAGCAAAACATTTACAGTGCCAATAATTGATCTGTGATTGTTTCTGAACCAAACACTAAACCCACACTGGACACACAGTCAGTCATTCCCACACAGCATGAAGGCGGACCTCCTTCCTCCTCTACTGACTACTCGGGAGTAAAATAGGAAGCAAGCATTCTGGGGAAGATCCTCCTCCCTTGGATATTTCATTGCACAACAACAACAACAACAACAACAACAATAATAATAATGACTGACACACAGAGACACACACAGACCTCCTTCCTCCTCTACTGACTACTCGGGAGTAAAATAGGAAGCAGGCATTCTGGAGAAGTTCCACCTCCCTTGGATATTTCTTGGCTTAATCTGCAAGGACCAAGCTTTGTCACGTCCATAGGAAACCCTCAGCTCTCCCAGGCTTTTCCTCTCCCCCCTTTCTATAAAGAATGTGTCCCTCCCAAACATGAGTGAACCTGGGATGGATGGGGTCCCCATTCTGAGCCCCCCCTTTCCTGGTATCCCTTAGGCTGTCAGGCCAGGACCTCAGGGGAACCTAGAGAGGTCCTAGGTAATCTGGAATCCTCAGCTGCATTTGGGAGTTCCAGTTTCCATACAAGAAGAAAACCTGTCAGAAAGGAGAGGAACTTTGCTTACCCACTCCGTTGTCCAGAGTATAACAGACGGGTTGGTCTTCCAAACATATTTCCTCTTTGCAAGCACCATAACATCGAAGACACTGCAGACCCGCAACTGGATGAAAGAAATATAAGAGAGGATTCTCTCTTAGATATTTCTTTGATCTTGGCTTATGTGTTAGACAATAGATTATTGAAGAATGAGGTCGGCTGCGAAAATTTTATTAGAAAGATAATCGAATGGTCTGCAAACCAGTCCCATCTTAGCCAAGAAAGTCATCTGGGTGACTCTGGGCCAGTCACTCTTTCTTAGCCCAACCCAATTCACTGGTTGGTTGTTCAGGGGAAAATGGTATTTGATGAAGAAAAGAGTATTAGGATTGTTTACCACCCTGAGCTAACAATAAGAACAGACCGAACAGAACAAACAGAATAGAATAGAATAGAATAGAATAGAATAGGATAGGATAGGATAGGATAGGATGGGATGGGATGGGATGGGATGGGATGGGATGGGATGGGATGGGATGGAATGGAATGGAATAGAATAGAATAGAATAGAACAGAACAGAACAGAACAGAACAGAACAGAACAGAACAGAATAGAATAGAATAGAATAGAAAATATGGAATGGAATAGAATAGAATAGAATAGAATAGAATAGAATAGAATAGAATAGAATAGAATAGAATAGAATAGAATAGAATAGAATAGAATAGAATAGAAAATGGAATGGAAGAATAGAATGGAAGAATGAATAGAATAGAATAGAATAGAATAGAATAGATAGATAGAATAGAATAGAATAGAATAGAATAGAATAGAATAGAATATATGGAATGAAATAGATAGAAATGAATAGAATAGAACAGAACAGACAGAACAGAATAGAATAGAATAGAATAGAAAATATGGAATGAAATAGAATAGAATAATAGAATAGAATAGAATAGAATAGAATAGAATAGAATAGAATAGAATAGAATAGAAAATATGGAATAGAATAGAATAGAATAGAATAGAATAGAATAGAATAGAATAGAATAGAATAGAATAGAATAGAATAGAATAATAACTTTATTGTCATTTTGAATGTACACGAATCAGCATACATTAAAATGAAATTTCGTTGCATTTAGCTCACAAATGTTACCACGTTGGATATACGCTACATAAATATGACCTAAAAATAATGAAGGTGAGATTGAAAAAAAAATAACTTTTCTGAAAGAGGCCATAAAAGGTGAGCAGGTGAGAACTTGTGAGGTTGGTTTCTGTTTGGAAGCTAAGCAGGGTTGGGGCTGGTTAATCCTAGTAGGGGAGACCCCCAAGGCTGCAGGATGAACTGAAAAGTCTCAGAAATTACAACAATGTCAACCAATCTCAGGTTGATGCCAAGGAAAATCCATGCTTGACTTGAAGGGGGCATCTCCGATCCCCTTTGGTTGCACCATCGAAAACGCTGAATGTCAGCAAAGCCGGAGGGAGGCAGAGGGAGGGCAAAGACAATGGAACATTCTTCCTTCCGCTCCCAAGAGTATTTCCGTGGCAGAATTCACTACGCAAAGGAACCTCTACTTTCAGAGGCAGTCTACCCCAGAAGAACAGTTAGGCCAACTGCTATCTCAACTACTTTCTCCTAAAAGCTCCCATGGACCCTCACTATGCAGAACAGAACAGGTAGAAAGTCCCATCCTGGCAGCCAATCTGCATACTGAACGGAGAGCCGCTGCCTTCCCATTGGACTCGGCAGTGCCGGGTGGGGCAGGCAGCAGCTTCTGGTGCATGGGAGGCACAGCGCTTCCACCGCCACCACTGCAAATTACATCCTGCCTGGTCCGGCTCTTCATCCAGATCCTCTGGGGTGCTCCGGTGTTGTGGGAAGGACATGGATACAGAGGAGGGTCAGGCAGGATGCAATGGGTGGCCATAATGGGAGGAGCACATTGCCTCCCCAGCATCGGAGGCCACTCCCTTCTCCACTCTGTAGTGCCAAGTCCAATGGGAAGGCAGAGGCTCACCCTTCAGCACATAGATTGGATGCCAGGACGCCTGGATAATTGCCAGTGGGTAGAGAAAGCCATGAGATGAACAGATATGTCTGTTTTTAGGGCAGTGCATATTACACCACTGCTCCACCAGCTGCGTAGGTTGCCAGCTTGCTTCCTGGTCCAATTCCAGGTGTTGGTTGTAACCTTTGAAGCCCATCAGGGACATGGACTAAGCTCAGGTGGGACTCTCTCCCCCCCAGTTACTATACAGCATTCCACAACATTAGAAGTTTAGTAAGTGATCAAATCTGGAACTGGAATACACGGAGAGGGGATTGTGCTGAGCTCTGTCAGGGATAGGAAAGGAATGGAGCAGGAGTCCAAGTTCCAGGTCTTCCTCCAAACCACACTGCTTCTAAAGGAAACTTATGCACTTATGCACCATTTGAGATGAGCATCTAAGGCAGAACTGCACCCATTGGACACCGAACACAGCTGGGACAGCCACTCTCACGTACGGGATTCTCTCCAAATGGAGACCTCCTCTTTCCCCCTAAAGGCTCCCAAGGACCCTCCCTATGCAGAGCAGAACAGGGAGAAAATCCCATCACCAGAATGGGGCACAACTGCTTCGAATACCACACTTCGCTCCAATCCCTCAGTCTTTGTTTGATCCACTGTATTTCCACTGTAGCTGACCCGTTTCTCACCAGTCTTCTTCTGGGTGCACGTCAAGGTTTTGGGGGTCCCCTTTAAAGCTCTTCATGGCAGAGGTCCAGGTTAGTCTCACCCCTCTGGAATTAGCCCATCCCACTTGTGATGGCAGAGGAGGTGTGCTGAGGGTCCCATCAGCCCGACTATTCTGGCTGGTGGGGTCCAGGAGGAGGGACTTCTCTGCTGTGGCTCCTGCCCTCTGAAACATCCTGCCCCCCAATGTGAGGTAGACCCCAACCCTCCTGTCTTTTTGTAAGGGCCTAAAGATGGGGCTCTGCCAGTCAGCTTGGGGGCCCAGCTGAGGAATCGTGCAAGAGAGGTGCTTGATGGAGTAATAACAGATCCCACTTCTACCCCACTCCATCCACGCCCTCCCCATCTTTCTTTGGTTTTAACTTTTTATGTTTTAACTAAGATTAATGTAAGCTGCCCAGAGTTACTGTATGGTAAGATGGGCAGCCAATAAATTATATATACATATAAAAAAAGAATAAAATCCTCAACTAGCATCAAAGCCTACCTGGGTCCTTGCACATGAATGCCACCAACAACAATGCAAATAGCAAAGCTTTCATCTTGCAATCTCTTCTGCAGCCTTCAAAGTGCAGTCAGGATGGGAGAACCTTTTGGGGGGCTGGAGATCCAGGTTCAAGAGCGGGGAGACTTGGAGAAGAAGGGAGGGGTAGGGGGTGTGACCTCATTTTCCCCACTACCAACAGGGAAACTGGATTCACTCCAGATGCAGAACCAACCAACCCTGTCTTAAAGGAAGCAGCTACCATTCCATGTTCAAAAGTTGGGCTTCTGGACAATGGCTATCTCTTCCTGAATTTATAGACGGTAGCACAACCTGTGCAGGGCACAAAATTAAACCAAGCCAAAATATCATATTTACTCCCTGCAAGAGGAGAAATGAACCGAGCTGATTTCTGATGATGCTTGAATGATTTATGTTTTTAGGTTCAATCCCAAACATGCTGTCTAAGTATGTTTGGGGACTGTAAGCTTTCTTCACTTGGTTTGATAAGCTGAGGTTTATGGCCAAGATGTTCAGTAGATAGCAGGCAAGAAAACACCCTGCTTAAATGGCTGCATTCTGGATGTTCTTTCCATGCTTGAGGTGTCTCTGCAGAGGTTTCCTGATCAGGCCAGGTAACATAGTCCATGCACGAGAGAGTGAGGTTTTCCTTCCATCCCACGCTCAGATAATTTTATGTCGACTGCTAAAAAAACGGTCTGTAGGAGAACAGCCACGATCAGAGAGAACCTGATAGTTCAACCCTGAGCTACACATCGGAGTGTTGAAGTCTTGTGCTGGAGGGAAGCAGACAGAAAGGAACTGGATGAATTCTAAGATGCCAGAGAAGTTCAACATTGCAACAATGTGTGAGATGCTCACACACAACTGGAAAAGCTTTGCCTTGAACCTATAGCATGAGGTTCTCTTTTAAGCTTGGTTGAGCTTGGAGGGACACCACGTCTGGCTATTAAAGCACAAAGTCCTTCCATAGAATTCTGTCCCAAATCATGTTAGATATTCCGTCAGCTTGAAACACCAAAATTCAGGTGGGGGAGAGGCTGTTCGGGAGGATCAGAAGCAGACGTAGCCAGAGGCCAGGAGAAAAGTGGAACGGAGAAGGATTGAATGAGCTTTGCATTCAGTACTTTTCTTAGAGAGACTGCGATAACCATACAGCTCACATGGTGGAAAGAACAGAGATGAGGTAAATGGACTGCAACAAAAACAAATCTAGGCCAAACCACAATTTTGGGCCATAAGAAAATAATAAAACAATTTTGAACATAGAATAACAGAGTTGGAAGGGGACATTGGGGGTCTTCTACCCCAACCCCTTGCCTGAGCAGGAGACCCTATACCAGGGGTCTCCAACCTGTGGGCTGAAGCCCACTACTGGACCATGAGGGGTTTACAACTGGGCCATGGAAATGCTAAGCAAGCACAAAACCGCGCACATCCTCACTTGCAGAAGCAGCGGGCGAGCACATGTACACATGCTCCATTTGCTAGAGTGGCAGGAACACATGTTTGCTGCTCATGGAAATGGAGCTTTGTGCCCATCCGCATTTGCCAGCCACTTGCACGATACATCCCCTCCCCCCACAGGTTCCCAAAGCTGGAAATATTGGGGATCTCTGTCCTGTCCTGTTTCAGACAATCTATTTTGGGAAACCTCCAGTGATGGAGCATCCACAACTTCTGAAGCAAGCCATTCCACTTGTCAACTGTTCTCACTGTTAGGGCATTCCTCCTTGGTTAGTTTCCAACCCTTGTTTCCTGTCTTGCCTTTTGGTGCTTTGGAAAATAGTGTGACATACACGTCTTTCTAGAAGCCCCTCAAGTATCGGAACACTGCTATCGTATCTAGAGAAAAAAGTCTAGGGGTGACATAATACCAGTATTCCAGTATTTGAGGGGTCCCACCAAGACGACGGGCCAAGCTATTTTTCAAAGCACCATAAGGTGGGACAAGAAACAATGAACGGAAAGTAATCAAGGAGAGAAGCGACCTAGAACTAAGGAGAAATTTCCTGACAGTTAGAAGAATTAAGTAGTGGAAAGACTTGCCTTCAGAAGTTGTGGGTGCTCCATCTCGAAGTTCCCAACATAATTCTTCTCTCTGATAATGACTGTTTTCCTGCAGATCCTTCAGGTGACATAAAATTATCTGAGCGTGGGATGGAAGGAAAACCTCACTCTCTCGTGCATGGACTGTGTCAGGAAACCTCTGCAGGGACACCGCAAGCATGGGAAGAACATCCAGAACCCAACCATTTAAGCAGGGTGTTCTCTTGCCTGCTATTTACTGAACATCTTGGCCATAAACCTCAGCTTATCAAAATGATTTACCTTATGGTAGTGGGGAAAATGAGGTCACACCCCCTACCCCTCCCTTCTTTGCCAAGTCTCCCCGCTCTTCTCTCTTGAACCTGGATCTCCAGCTTTCACAAGGTGGGGCAATGGTGTGTGTGTGTGTGTGTGTGTGTGTGTGTGTGTGTGTGTGTATACACACACACACACACACACACACAGAGAGAGAGAGAGAGAGAGAGAGAGAGAGAGAGAGAGAGAGAGAACTTCCTTCTCCCATCCTGGACTGCACTGTGAAGGCTGCAGCAGAGATTGCAAGATGAAAGCTTTGCTATTTGCCTTGTTGTTGGTGGCATTCATGTGCGAGGACCCAGGTAGGCTTTGATGCTGGTTGAGGATTTTATTCTTTATTTTTATATATATATAATTTACGGGCTGCCCATCTTACCATAGGGCAACTCTGGGCGGCTTACATTGTAATCTTTGTTAAACCATAAAAAGTTAAAACCAAAGAAAGATGGAGTGGGGTGGAAGTGGGATCTGTTATTACTTAATCAAGCACCTCTGTTGCACGATTCCTCAGCCGGGGCCCCAAGCCAACTGGCAGAGCCCTGTCTTTAGGCCCTTATGAAAAGGGAGGGGTTTGGCCAACCTCACATTGGGGGGCAGGATATTTGAGACGACAGGGGCCACAGCAGAGAAGGCCATCCTCCTGGACCCTGCCAGTAGAAATAGTCGGGCTGATGGGACCCTCAGCACAACTCCTCTGCCAGCACAAGTGGGACGGGCCAATCCCGGGGGGAGGGGGTGAGACTAACCTGGACCTCTGCCACGAAGGGCTTTAATCGCACTAGGAATCTGACTGGTAAGCAGTGGGTCACCCAGAGTGGAAATACAGTGGATCAAAGAAAGACTGAGGGATTGGAGCGAAGGGTGGTATTCGAAGCAGTTGTGCCCCATTCTGGCGGTGGGACTTTCTCCCTGTTCTGCTCTGCATAGGGAGGGTCCCTGGGAGCCTTTAGGGGGAAGAGGAGGTCTCCATTTGGAGAGAAGCCCATCGCTGAGACAGTGCTTGGCCCAGCTGTTCTTCTGGGGTAGACTGCCTCTGAAAGTAGAGGTTCCTTTGCGTAGTGAATTCTGCCATGGAAATGCTCTTGGGAGCAAAAGGAAGAATGTTCCATTGTCTTAGCCCTCCCTCTGCCTCCTTCCGGCTTTGCTCACGTTCAGCATTTTTGGTTTTTTTTTTAAAGTTTTTATTTTTCATTTATCAATTACATAAACAACAAAGAAAAAATTTCACATTTGACAAAATAAAATAAATACACATAGGTGTTGCTTGCCCACCCCCCAAACTGCATCCGCCCTCTCTAACACTCTCCCTTACTTCCCTCCTCTTTCTCACCTCCCCTCACCTCTCTCTCCCCTCCCCCTCTCCTCTCACCGTCCTACTTCCTCCCTAACCTTTCTCCTCCACTCTCATCCCTCTTCGGATACAGTGCCGGGAAAATGCCCAAGCAACATCTCTCTCATAAGTTATCCCATCTATTGTCTTACTTTAATCCTATTGTCTAACCTAACTTTTTCCGTCTCTCTCAATATTTCTTCAGGCTCAGATTTCAAAATAAAAGCTATGTCCTTTACGACCGCTTGTCTCAAATCCTCTTGAATGTTTTCTTTCCTTCCCCTTTTTCTTAAAGCAAACTCCATACTTCTGTATTGTAACATAGTAATTTCATCCTGAATTATTTCCACCTTATTTTCTGTTTTATCAACTCGATCTTCCACTTTTTCAGAACTTTCTACAGCAACCTCAATACGCTGATCCAGACAATCTATATGATCAACAAACTTCTGAAACACAGACGCTATATAGTGCTGTTTATCCCACACTTTTTAGTTTATCAAGACATAGGTTGTGTTCTCTTTTGTCAAACACTTCACTGAAATCCAAGTATACTATATCCACAGCATTTCGCTGATCCATTAATTTAGTCACTTTATCAAAAAAAGAAATAAGAAAATGTTTGGCATGATCTGTTTGGAGAAATCCATGTTGGCTTCTGGTTATAACTTAAACGAATTTGAATAGTGTATTGGGGATATACAGCAGCTCAAACTATATACAGTTATTTTAAAGAAGGAAAAAATAATTGTTGGGCTGCTTAGTAATCAAAGTAATTTTATTGATTTGTTTGTTTACTATGAAGTTTATTTTCTGCCCGTCTCGTATCCTGTGTCTCTGGGAAGATTTAGAAGCAGGCAGGTTATATTTCTATTGATGATAAATTATAAGTAAGTTGTCATTCTTGGCAAAGACTACCAAATACCTTGAAAGTCAAATTATCTGAGATGGGCATCTAAGTCAGACCTGCACCCGTTGGAGAAGGAAGAGGGTTTTGCATAAGTAAGATGGGTTACAAAAAACCCTTCAGCCTTCTACTATTCCGCAATTGAACTTTCAAAAAAGGAAAATGGACATGTCATACCAAACACATCCACTACGCTTGAATGTAAATGCACAAATTTATTCAGTTGCCAAGCTACAGGGAGAGCAGAACAAGTCTTGTAGACCAGGAGAAAAAGGAAAGAGGATGAGGTGTCCAAAGAAGCCGAGGGGGTGCATTATGAACCGTAAAGGCCACAAGCTTAAATCTGCCAGGATGGTCCATGATGGATGACAGCAAAACCCCAAACAACATTTTAATCATTGCAAAAGTCAGAGGTGCAACACTGAATCTTCAGCAACTCGTCTTCTAGAACGCACAATGGAGCACATCCTTTAGACTGGGGCCCTCCTGGAAAAGAAACATAAAGCAAAACATTTACAGTGCCAAAGAATTGATGTGCGGCTATTTCTGAACAAAACGGTAAAGCAACACTGGATGCACAGTCATGCATTCCCACACCCCAAACTGGGGTGCTTGTGGGATGGACTGGGCTGCCCTTTCTGAAACCCCTCCCCTTTTCCTGGCATCCCTTAATACAGTGATGGCGAACCTTTTAGAGACCGAGTGCCCAAACTGCAACCCAAAACCCACTTATGCATTGTCGGGTGCCTGGTGGGCGTGGCCCATTGGGTGGGTGTGGCACACTGAGTGGGTGTGGCCCATTGGGTGGGTGTGGCTGCAGTGGTAATGGCAGACTGGGTGGGGCTAAAAAGTTCAATCAATCAATTCCAACTTTGCAAGATTTTTTTTCCCCACAGGAAGTTGAAATTGATCGATTGATTGAACCTTTTTTTTTTCGCACACAGCGGCAGAAGCCTAAAGCGACATGGTTTTATAAAACCTAGCTGAAGGCTTAGGACTGGGGTGATGGCACACATGCCCACAGAGAGGGCTCTGAGTGCCGCCTCTGGCACCCGTGCCATAGGTTCGCCACCACTGCCTTAATATGTCAGGCCATGACCTCAGGGGAATCTAGACAGGGCACAGACGGGTCCTAGGTGATCTGGAATCCTCAGCTGCATTTGGGAGTTCTAGTTCCCATACAAGAAGAAAAACTGTCAGAAAGGATAGGAACTTTGCTTACCAAGAACAGGCTGCAGAATATAACAGAATCTATCTGTTTGCGAACATCTTTTTTTTCTATCAAACATAAATGGGTCAGACTCTTAACATTTCAGACTCTTTACTAGATGAAAAAAATAAAACAGAGAAATCTTACTTTAGTATTTATCTCTTTTATCTTGTCTTATTATGTATTGAATAATAGACTTTTGACTCATAAGGTTGGCTGCGAAAATTTCACCAGAAAGATAATAAAATGGTCATTTAGGTGACTCTGGGCCACTCTTTCTCTCCCCCGACCCACTTCACTTGGTCTTTGTTCAGGGAAAGCAGAGAGAGAACGAATATTAGCTTTGTTCAGCACCCGGGCTTGATTATAAAAACAACGAAGGTGAGCTTTAAAAAGACATCGTTTCCTAAAAAGGCTCCTGCCATTTTGGGAACATCTTGCCCCCCCCCTTTGAGGCTGGCCCCCAACCCTCCTATCTTTTCGTAAGGGCCTAAAGATGGGGCTCCACCAGTCAGCTAAGGGCCCCGGTGGAGGAATCACACAATGGAGGTGGTTGATTAAATAATAACAGATCCCATACTTCCACCCCACCCCTCCCCATCTTTCTTTGGTTTTAAGGGTGGGTTTGAACTTTTTATGTTTTACCTTAGATGCTAATTGTAAGCCAGCCAGAGTTACCCTATGGTTAGAAGGGCAGACAATAAAATTTATAAATATATAAATACATACTAAAATCCTCAACCGAGATCAAAGGTTCATGAGCCTACCTGCGTCCCTGCACACAAATGCCACCAACAACAACGCAAACAGCAAAGCTTTCATCTTGCAATCTCTTCTGCAGTCTTCACAATGCAGTCCAGGATGGGAGAATGAAGTTCTGTATATATGCCACTGCCCCACCTTGTGGGGGCTGGAGCTCCAGGTTCAAGAGAGAAGAGAGGGGGAACTTGGGAAAGAAGGGAGGGGTAGGGGGTGATCTCACCTTTCCCACTACCCAAAGGGAAATCGGTTTGATAAGCTAAGGTTCATGGCCAAGATGTTCAGTAGATAGCAGGCAGGAGAACACTCT